TCATTATACGGCTACTTCTCTAGATAACAACGTCGAATTTAGACCTTCTACAGAAGCTGGACGACACGCCGCATATTTTTGATAAATATACAATTATTATTAGAATTTATTTACTACATCTAGTTGTAAATGCGGTGAATTGTCTCTGCAGAGCCCTTGCTTTCTGTTCCTTGACTTGTCAAGGAAGCGCAACGGCATCTTTGACAAGTTTACGTTTCATTTATTACAGCCGTTCGATTAGTTTACAAAATTCTTATTTCCACTATATGTTTTGCATAAACGGATGCCACACATCGAGTAATGCTCTGAAAAGACTCACTGTCTGTCTTCTCACACGATACTAGCAACTGAATTTTGATTGGATAAAGTTAACCTGTGAAGATCGGCCTGATTTAACGCCCCTCGCTATCTTGCGTCCAAATTTGAGCTTGTATTAGTAAAATTCAAATAAACGATAGTTTGTGTTTGGCAGATATTCGACGATACTGCAACCTATTTAGAAGTTGCAGAATTTTTTATTGGATTTATATTAACTGAGTCGTCCATCGTATAGCACTGAAGTTCAATTATGAATACCGACTAACCGTTCGCCTGAGACAATTTAATTTTCGTCTGCATGCCTTTAAAAAAGAGGTCACATCCGAGTCCGACTCCAATGTCTTACGGATGCCAAATACAATATGGTTTCGTTGTTTTTCCATTCAAACGATCAATATAGCTCTCTCAATGAAAAGAGATCCCGAAATACATGAACATTTTTATTTAGAAAAGTCTATAACGTGTCTCTGAAACGATCCAGTAGATGTCACACATGCGCTACTTTTGTTGTTGCTGCACGGCAACCCATGCGTGCAGTTTTCGAAAAGCGCGCTCAACGTATCGTGCACGATGCCTGTTTACAAGAAGTTTCAGCGGTCAGTAATAGTAATTCTGAGGTAACGTAAACTTACTTGCATGCGTGAGCATAATTTTCATGACAACTTATTTTTGTTTAGAGATAGTTGGATAGTAAACGAATCTGCTCGTAACTCTATTTGATATCGAACTTTATTTTCTATATAGCAATTGCAGCACTATGGCCTGGTATCGTTTTTATGCTTTTCGTCATATTTGAGCAATCGTTGGTTGATAGTGCCAGAAACATCAAATACAGAAATATATCATATACGTATATACCATTTGCGATAAATTATACTACCATTACGACTGTTAGTCATAACTGAGTGCCGATAACGGCACCTTACCAGCGTCGGTCATCAGCTATCTAGGGAACAATAAAAAGTTACCCTAGATTTTATTGAAATACAATCTAGCCTGTCATTTCTTTTCTTCCAAACGAATATTGTATTTACGCGAGTATACCGTCAAACACGACTATTTTCTAGATTCTACCGGTAAATGTAAATAACGCAGATCGACTATTAGCGGACAAAGGTGGCGATAAACTAAGCGCCGTTAAAAAGGCCCTCTTCCTCTTCATTAGATACTCCTTTTTCCTTATTGGCACACTTGGCATCGTTGTCGAGCTACGCGCAGACCAATAAAATTGATGTACAATAATCACTGTGTTCTATTTCCTCAACAACCCTGACCGGTCAACGTTATGCTTTGTTCATATAACAAAGGGGCAAAGTTTAACCGGGACCCGTTATTCGCTTGGGAGCAGATGATTTACATTGAGAAACTAACATTACTGAAAGATAACGGCAAGAGAAAAGTGAGCAGCTAATTATAGCGACAATTCAACATGAAATTTGCTACGAACTATTAGATACTTTCTGGATCTCAGAAAATTAGACGCCAGCTCCTAGCAGACAGTATAGACTAGTACTTATCAGCACTGAAAATAAAGCTATTTGAAAGCTAACCCTTGTTTCATCATTTTCGTAAACACGACGGTATCATTTACCCGACGTCACTTAGTCAAGGACGGATTAGCTCAAAACAAATATTAATTCTATTAGAAAATTAGTAGTCCTCTGAGATATTGTAGTTCATTTTAGTTCCTTGCCATACAATGTCTGCTGGTGCATTGTTACCTATAATGGCGTAGCTAGAAAAAACGAGTACGTATACATAACAAGCAAAATTTAAATATACAATGTGTGTGTGTGTGCTTCTTGTTTTCGGAAAATATGAGATAGGGGCAAACGTAAAATAAGCGGGTAGACACGTATTTTCGACTCGGTTATAATGTAGTGCGGTTTGTCGTTGACACAATTTTCCCGGAAAAATAACAATGGTCTTTCAATTAGCGTGCATTATTAAATGTCTGGTTCCCGCGCTTGAAAACGTAAGAAACTTGGATATTTTGTGTTTGTACTGTAGATTTTTCTAATAGAGTCCTGTGTTCATTCCCATCTCGCCTGACACGAGCCTTACTTGTTCGCTTACGATTTAACAGACGTAAAAAATACCGATTAACACGTCTAGAAATGCTGCTCCTCGCTCAAACGGTTCGCTCTACTTTTGTCAACTAGTCGTATCAACAACATAAAACTGTCCAATTAATAAAGAATTCACTTCCCGTTATATTCTAACGTAAGTAGTTATAACCAATAAATCAGTCATATCTGGCCAGCTTGAACCAGGTCTACTAAATACTGGAAAAGAAAGTCTTGAAAATAGATAACCTACACGTTTGGAAGGCCACCCAAAAGGCAAATATATGATAAGCGCTAACATGAATAGCATATGTTAGTTGTTGTCAGCACAAAAATACTCACCGAGGTTTTGTGCTTGATTAGTAATAAGGATTCGTTAAAATCAATAAAAGACTGCTTTTTACTCTAAAATGTAATACGCAGCAGTGTTATCTATAAGGAATAACCTGAATACGACGGATACATGTACATTGCTATTGTATACACAGAAGCACAACAATTTAGAAAGCGACAATAAAAATGATCTGGTTCTATAAAGCCTAAGTCAAAAGCATGATTCGTTTCATATCTAGCATTGATTAATCTCTAGCGTACCGTTTAAAAGCAGTAACTTTCTTCTAGTAGAATGCAAATAGGTATGGGAGCTTTTTTTTGCTTTTACCTAAAAAAAGTGACCGAATCTGCTCGAGTCAAATCTTTGGCTCCTTTATACCTTCATCACCATTAAGGTCTACCAAGTATCTTAAATGTTAAACTAGAGTCTTGAGAAATATATTTACTTTTATTGTTATTATTAAATAACAGGATCAGATGAGATCTTTATAGAGAATTCGTCATACAATTCGCATCGTACGGCGAGGTGGCTCAACAGGGGTACCAAACTCGTCTTCCTAGATATATAGTCTACTATACAAACGCAGTTTAACATTAATCTAGGACTACATATGGGACCATTCCAAATTGACTACAGTTTGCCTTAATGAATATAAGTAATACAAAAAAAACTCGAGTGAGGTTAAAGGAAAAATTCCTCGAACCACGCTATACTGCTGACTACATACTATAAATATTGTAGCATAGGAATCATTGTTTTGTTATTCCACTAGTTTAAACATTTTTTTTTTATTTAAAACGGTTATTTAAAACGGTAAAGCGATTTGAGTCATTATCAGTGCTAACTTTCGCACCTTCATGTGATAGAAAATTCCTCTATAATTTGTCCCAAGTAATAACGATACGTTAAACGAAGCCACATAATAATATTGCCCTCGTGACAGCGCAAGAGGTAACGTATATGCTTGCCGAACTTCAGGGAAAACGGTAGTCTGGGTTCGAAGCCGTTCGTAGGCATCTCGTTTCGTGCTTAGCGGAAAAATTACTAGCCGAACAGCATTATACCGAGCGATTACATAGTAAATATTATTCGTATTTATCTAGTTTGTCCAAGTTATCAATGCGCGCATATTTACTGTGACCTATGTTGGCGCTAAGAACTGTCCGTTAACAATCGTGCTATCCGCCTATAAAGTTATTCCCTGTTATAGGTGCGAACGGTTCGAGTTTAAAGGCATAAATGCCTTTTTACTATTTGATGTAGTTTTTACCTTCTGGTCGTATTAGGGAAAACATGTAATCTTCTAGTAGCTTGCAGGTACTCACTGCACAAGTAATCGGCCTATCTCCATTAAAGGATGCCCTTAATATAAAGCCACTGGAGCTGAAGCGCAGTCTGTGTGTCACCATGGTGTGTTTGGTGTCATTATGATAATTGCAATCATTTACTAACAGCAATCCTCCATACTGCTGCCTTAGTCTAAACCGGTAGGCAGATTGATAGATACCCTTTACGCAATTACGAAGAGTCTAGCAAAAAGCTTTTTCTCGCATCTGTTCAAGACGGTGTTCATCACGCGGCTATGTGAAACCCTTGATATACTAGATTAAATCTGTGAGCTGCGTTATGCCGCATTCAACGTTGCTCGAAGTTGCAGTAGCATAATAAGTAGCTAACAATGGTGACGACGAAGTGAGAAAACGAGGACAGAACGTCTGCGAGAGATTTAGTTCTTGTTTTGGCGCGCCGTTCGCTGAGCGGGTCGCCGTAACGGCCGGCATGCTTGCGGTTGTAGACATTAACGACATAATAATGAATAGCTTTTTAGTAACAGAAACTGCAGCGGTTATTGCATTCGTTGTCGGCGCCAAAACAATCATCACTGTCGTAGCGAGGAGTTTTATCGACGGATGGAAGCCGCAGCGGCGGCGGCGGCGGTCGTTTGTCACAGCCGTTAATAAATCTCAGGCACGGTCTATGATAGGTACGATGACTATTTGCTACTGGTTGCCGACATCACTAGCGAAATTGTCAATAGAATAAGCAGTAGTCATCCAGCTGCAGCTGTTATTGGGGCCAGCCGTCGCCGCCAGCTGTCGTAACAAACAGAAACTGCAGGTGGACTAGCTCTTTATTCCCGCGGCGTGATAGCAGCGACAAACAGGGGGAAAAGCCAGCAGCCGTAGAGTAGTGGTAGTATCGGTTCTGTAAACGTTAGGGTCTTCATCCCCCCCCCCCAACGGCTTGCTAACGTTGCAGTTTTTTTATATTTTGCTGTCCAGGTGTCTGTCTCCTACAAATCAGCTACGGGAGAAAAATCATCCTGACGACGCGATATCAAATCGAGAACGCAACACGGTAGCAGAGCCGTCTGGAGCCGAACAGAATCGAACAGCAAGAAGCCACCACCCGGCGACCGTCCAGCGGTAGCTGTTTAGATCGTTCAAGGTACGTCTCAAATGTTGCGGCTATAACAACTACGGTTATATACGAACGATTACGGATCGGCGGCAACGGCGACGACCGCTGCTGTTGAACGGTTGTTACTCCAGATCCGTCCCTGGCCATCCGTCTGCGCGTACTACTGCGGCCATCGCATCCAACGATGTGGATATGGAACGGCAATGGCGGCTGCCAGCAACCGCCTAGCGATTGCTGCGCTGCGTCTAAGTCGGCCAGCAATAGCACTACTACAGGCTGTCCCTACGTTTGATAGTAATAGTGGTTACTACAATGGGGGTGGTGATGTTGGTCGTCGCAAAGACAGATCCCATGAGCAGCGCGAGCGCCGCCAACCGCTTGCCTTACTATCTATCTATTTATCTCTCTGACTAGCAGCAGCGCTCTGGCTCGCTAGTTGGCTGGTTACTTTTGCCACCGCCAAGAGACGAACAGACCGATCGACCGAACGACCCCCTCGCTCTCGTCTGATGTGAGAGGGAGAGACATCGTACGATTTTATTTATGCTATCGCAGCGCCGCCACCGTCCTGCTGGGGACCAACAGCGGCAGTCTGCTGGGTGATGATATAGTCAGGCCGCCGCTCCTGAGAGCCATCAGCAGGCCAGGCCAGGCAGGTAATAATAGACGAGTGATAGGCACAACACGACAAACAGAAAGAAAAAAAGACGAATAATATTCACTGGGCGCCTAGAGAGTGCGATCGCATGCATGTGTACCTCGATGAGGCGTTACCATAAGTGCTACTGATACCATACTCAGTGTAGTGTGTAAGTAGAGTGAAAAAACGAGTGGTGCTGAACGCAAAAAACTGCGACACGGTGACAGGCACATCGGCACATAATCGAAAGCACATAGGCGAATAGATCGAGCCACGGGACCGAAGAAACGGCACATCATACAGAAACAAAGGTAAGACGAATCGTACTGCGGGGATATTGTGACAAACGTTCGTCGAATAGTCAAGCGTTGAGCTCAGGACGTCATTTGACAGCATAACGATTGCGCCAGTCATAGACGCTAGCTAGCTCTGACCGTTATTAAACGATTTCTCGACAAACTGCAGTCGCGTCACCCATGACGCTGCCAGTGTAACGTTTGTGTTCCGAATGTTATGAGTGGGCCACGACATTGTAGTATGCCATATACGCTGACAGTTTCTCGCGGCGAACGAGATAAGACGACGATAATCCGAATGGAAAAAACATACGTTTCAAGATTCAAATAAGGCCTGTGGCATCTGTCCATTTATATTTCTATCCGCTGTACTGTTCGTTGAGCGCACGAGCTTGAAAAAAGCCAGAAATATACATTGACTGTAAACAGCAGCTACAGGGTCAGAGAGTGACACGACAGAGGAATTTCGTGTCCGAACGGACGGACAAATCCGTATCGTTTTCTCTATCGACGCATTGACATTTGTCGAACAGAAGAAAAAGACCATGAACTGTCCCTGCGCACTCGTCCATAGCCCGCGCTTCACTTCTTGTCGATTAACCAGCGGCAGCACTAGCGCATACGCCACGACAGGGTGCCGGAAAGACTGATATACGTACGTAGAACGGACAGAAAGCACAGGCAACAGCGGCACAACGATAGACAACTAACCAAGAATTGGGGTTTTTGCCGCCGGACGCGTACAGCAGCGCCACACCTTACCTCGCTAGTAAACAAAGCAGCTTAAGCGAGCTTGCACAGTTGTCAGCCACGGTTGTCTGATCTGTATTATCAATTTAGACGTTTGATCACTGACCGAGGACAGCTTGTCCATTTGCCTTACTGTCGTCTATTGAAAGACTGAATCGTTCTCGAAAGAGTGAACGAATTGTGCGTCTTTGCATATGCTATCGTAGGTGTGCCTATATGCATTTATCTGTACATAATCGTGTGTAACGCGAATCGTAATTGCATTTCTGCCAGGTGCAAAAAACGTATTCTCTGTTGAAAAGTACCTGCAAAACAGTGCGTCTCCAAGTAAGACAATATTTATTTATACCGTATGACGTTGTTGATATTATATCATGTCATCGATATACGGTTCGTCAACGAAATGGAGGCAATTTACAAAGCAACTTAAAGAGAAGAACAATGTATTTGGTAAGGCAGTCGTGGCAAAAATTTGTCCTTTTTTTTCCCTTAATTAGCACAGGCGAGCTAGGCAGAACGGCCCACGTGGAACTACTTGTCAATGCGTTGCGTATTCGTGTATAGTATTATCGTCTGTAGAGTCTGATTCTCGTCCAACATGCACAAAGAGTACAGGCAGAAGTGTGTGCTTATATGTCCGATCGTGTAATTGTTTTCGGCAGTGGCGTTGGTTGACACATGGTTCGATGCTGGCGACCCAGCTTAGTGGTTGGCTTGACGCAGGGATAGGTGTTGGTGGTTAGTTTAATGGTGGGTCTACTGATTGGATTGCTTGTCAAACTGGCTAGCGGTCATGCAATAATGAGCAAGACGAAAAATTATATTCAACCCACCAGTAACTGCCACTCGATAGAGTGGCATGACATATACACCGCCGGAAGCTCTGTCTTGTATGACAGGCAGGTTTCGGCTGAATTTGTTAGTCTACGGGATGTACTGAGCGTAATGGTTAAATCAGCGAATGGCTGGCGCTGGCCGGCCATCTCAAGTTTTCAAAGGTATAACCTGCACAAGCCTGGTTTATTTGCTTCTAGTACATATAACATGTATATATATACATACATACATATATATATACATATATTATATATATATATATATATATATATATATATATATATATTGTAAACAATTTACGTGCACAGTGCAAATTACAGTTGTCATAAGAATCCGCGGTAATATAGGCCATTGAGTTCGCTATGTGTTTAATTCGCCCCTAGCGGGAGCACTCACAACAGACTATAAGTTATTGTACCATTACTACCAAGACCAACAATAATAACGGTAGCCAGTGTGATTATAACGAGTATAAGGCCATTTGCGGATATTGAGCTAAGGCTTTTTTTAGGTAACAAACTAGAGAGGCGTACAAAACCATATGTCAATATCTATGCGCATGCGAATTGAAAACTCTGGATCGAGGTACTCTGACGAAGTTACGTAACTCGTAATATACAACATAAGGTACACTTCCCCTTATAACAATGTAAGAACTCTTGGAACCAGTGTGCATCGGAGTTATGCTGGATGAATGTTGGCAACGGTAGTATGCGTTTCTTTTCAACAACTTAAGCCTTTATTTGAATCTACTGTAGATGATGGTTGGTCGACTTGCCTCAGATCGAAGTACAGAATCTGGGAAAAGTTGACCCATTTTCTTTTCTGTAAGACGAACCTTGCTAAACCAAATATGTATGTATAGGCAGCTAACCGCACAACTTAACCGCTAATTTGACTTTTCCTAATATCTGATGTCTTGTACCGGTAACGTCTGTTACTACTATTGATTGCCTCTACATTAGATACGACTGTAATATTGCGTGGGGAGTAGCCGCGTACAGTACCAGAGAAGTCCCCTCTCCCGGGGTGGGGCAAATAGTCCTGTAGTGGGTGACCTAGGGTTATCCGAAATGGCTTCGGGAGAAATCCACATACCTTCTGAAATAGATAAATTTCCCCCCCGAAATGGGTTAAAAGTGTCAGATTTAATGTGGCCTATATTGTGGCTGTGTGAGGACCACCGCTATCGCTGTAGCTAGTGAAAATGCTAGGGAACTGCAGAGCAAACAGCATTGATATCGTGCTAAGGAACGGCTTATATGATGAACGCATATGCGTTACAAGTTAGTAGACTCGGCATCAGTTAATACGGGATCTACGGCTAAAAGGGGCGACTCTTCTGAAGCCAGTAAGCGTGGGGTCTGCTTGCACAAGCAACAGCGGGTCTCCTTTGAAAAAGGAATTGGAATAAAAGCTGCTCTGATTGGCTTGGTAGCGAAAAAGCACGATCAAGCTGAAGGGCTGTACGGAATATTTTTAGCCAGATAGTTTGCATTAATAAACTAATTAGAAGTGATTGGTTATTCTATTGCTGTCCTTCGCATTAATTCAGAATTGTTTGCAACATTATCTTGATGGAAGAACAACTTTGCTGCCTCGTCGCCACTTATTTGGTATTTTTTCCCTGATGAGTGGTTGCAATGACAATTAATCTCGTAAATTTGCTAATAAGTTGTATTACCTAGTAGTTATATAGTCGACGGTGCGTCTCTCAGGTTCACCTGAGCAGGTCCTGTGTCGGCGCTCGTCATGACCGTTTGGCTATTTTTCCAAAGGAGCTGAACGTGCAAGCTACGACGTGGCATTTGATCTGATCAGCTGATTGTGCAAGTGACATATATGGCTTTGTTCAGTCCCGACTTATGTTTTGTCCGTTTCTTATTACCATAAATGCATTGGTGACGTTTTGCTTTACTTCACCTGAAACCCTGATGTTCCTCATAGTATAATAGTACCCATGTGTTGGCTGGTGTCCGCTACGCCAGCTTCTTAAATGCCATTGCCTGTAAAATAATTATGTATAGGGAAGCAGCGCGCGATTTTCTGCTCTGTGCTGTGCACCACGGCAAGGATTGCCACAGTTGCCCTTAATTAAAAGAAAGGGAAAAACGCAGAGAGGTAAACGCCATCGATCTGAAGTTTGCCAATTAATGCGCACTTGACCGTTTGTTTCTGACTCAGGGCCAACGGTAACAGAAGCGTTGGTATAGATGACAATGAAAAACGTGAATGAAGATATGGTATTGACTGAGCGAAATCAGTGACGGAATGTTTCTAGGGCTGATTAGGAAAGACCCAGCGTCGGTGAAGATATCATCGAGCACTAAATGGTCAAATAAATCGATTTGTCTACATGAGCGATACAAATGCACAAGGTTTGTTTAAAAACTAGCAGGCTTCGTGAGATCTGATTGCGATTTACTTTTTGGGCAACCATTAGGACGAATTTTTAGCTATAACCTGGAAGATGTCAAGGTACAACTTCAGAGAAGTGCACTAAA